AAGATAATTAGATACCAATCACAATAGCAGCAAAAGCTATAAAATGTCTAAGAATTAACTGGGCATACATAGGGCCTCTGTGAAAAAGTGAATTTTTAAAAGCATAATAAAGAGCAAACAAGAGCCCTGGCCAGTTTGGCTCAGCAGTTAGAGCGTCAGCCCATGGACCAGAGAGACCCGGGTTTGGTTCCCGCTAAGGGCACGTACCTGGGTTGTGGTTTGTCCCCGGCCCTGGTTGGGGTTGTGTGGGTGGTGGCCACTCGATGTCTCTCTGTCATGTCGATGTTTCTCTCTCTCTCTCTTCCTCCCTCTCTCCCTTCTGCTCTATCTGAAAATAAATGCAAAAATGTCCTCAGGTGAGGATAAAAAAATATATTAAAAAAAAAAAAAAAAGAGCCCTGGCCGGTTTTCTCAGTGGTTAGAGCGTCGGCCTGCGGTCCTGAGAGACCCGGGTTCGGTTCCCGCTAAGGGCATGTACCTCGGTTGCAGTTTGTCCCCGGCCCTGGTCGGTTGTGTGGGTGGCAGCCACTCGATGTGTCTCTTTCACATCGATGTTTCTCTCTCTCTCTCTGTTCCTCTCTCTCCCCCCCACTCTACCTGAACAAAAAATGGAAAAATGTCCTCGGGTGAGGATGATAAAAAAAAAAAAGAGCAAACAAGATGATTTGAATAAATGGGGAAACACCCTCTGCTTCTGCCTGGGATGACTTCATATTAACAAGAATCAATGATTCCCCAAAGGGCTCTATAAAGTCAATATAACCTTAACCAAAATTCAAGTTTAACTTTGAGAAACTTAATAAACTTACTGTAAAGTATGTATGAAAAAATAAAGATCCACAAAGAGGTACCCAAACCTTGGGGGTAGGAGAACCAGAAGTGAGTGTCCTCCCAGGCCCCCCAGCAGGAAAAGGCAAATTCCGTCTTCTCTTGCTACCAAGGTCTTACCCTGTCCACTGCCAAAGGAAGCCCACGCTTTGTATCTGCCCCCCAGCCTTAGCCCCTTTCCTTCATATTGTAAATGTGCCAGCTGCCCTCCATCTGTCCTGTGGATCCACCCTCCTCCGCCCTGTGGCTGCGGGTGCTGGCCTGCACCACGTCACGGGCTCCAGCCCGGCTCAGCCTTGCCCCGAAAGCCTGGGAGGAGGGCAAGGTCAGGGTTTCTCCTTGGCTCCCCCTGCAAGGTCACCTCGGGCTGGCTGTGTCCCTTGCCTAAAGGGAACTGCTGCTGTCCTCCTGAGGTGGTAACCCCTCCTGTCCCTTGTCTCTTCAGGCCTGGGGTAGTGACAGCAACTGCGCACCAGGTCACTATACCACTTTCACCCCTTCTTTGTAAATACTTCCTTGTAAATAGATCTCCTTGAACTATCCTCCTTGGAGTGCGCCCTGTTTTCTGTTGTGGCCCCGACACAGTGAAAGCCATCTGGTTCTTCATTCTCTGCCCCAGACCAGCCTGCCCAGGGCTCCGCGGAGGCCTCATATGCAATGGAAAAGGGAGAGGAAGGGCTGGGAGAGCCGGTGAGCCCTGTCTGGGAGCAGTCCCTGTGGGTGAGGGGCCTCTCCACCCTCTGCAGCCCCTGGGGACAGGCCTGGCCAAGGGAGGCAGGAAGTACCAAGGAGGAGTCCCCCAGAGCCTGTTTCAAGGCGGTGTGGGGGCTCTTGGGAATGGCAGGCACTCCATGCAAAACCGAAGTGTTAGGGGTTAGACTCCACCCTCCTCTGTCATCCAATTTCCCCAATTTTGCTTTGCAAACAGCATTACTTGAGAAGACGATCTACATATCTAAACATTGAGATTAAATAACAGTTCTTGTCTGTTCCTTTCACACAAATGTGTGCCTGAGTAAGGAGACAGAGAACCTGGAACACAGGAAAAAACACTGAGGATATACCCCCTCCTCCACCGTTGTATATTTGGGTTTTATTCCCATTGTCTTTATGGCCAAAAGAAAACCCTCAAACTTGAAGTCAACACATTTCTCTAAAGCAGTGGCACTGCACCGAGGGTTGAAGACCCTGCGTGTGCCCCCTGGACCCAGAGCCAGATCCGGTATGGTGGAGAGTAGGAAGTTCAGCCTTTATTAAAAAAAATGTTTTTCTTTATTGATTTTAGAGAGAGAGGAAGGGAGGAGACAGAGAGATAGAAACATCGATTGGCCGCCTCCTGCATGCCCTCCACTAGGGATCCTGGGCCTGTGCCCTGACCGGGAATTGAACCGGCGACCCCTTGGTGCGTGGGTCAATGCTCAACCAGTGAGCCACACCGGCTGGACGAAGCTCAGCTTTTAAAACAATCAGGGCACTGAAGGGAGAGAATCATTCATTGTGCAACTTGAATTAGATAACCCAAAACCCAACTCAGTGTGTGTGTGTGACATATACACACATGCACACACATTTCATTATGTTCCATATTCTACGGTCCTCACTCAGCCTGGGGCTGACCCCTTACTGCTCCTCTACGTCCCTTCCAGGCACCAGGCACTCCCCTGTGGAACGACATGCACACCCCCCCTGTTTTCCCAGCCAGTGTGGTCCTGGATCCCAGGAGACCAACATGCGCTTTTTCCTGCTCCCCACCTGGATGGAAACAGCCTTCCCTATAAAACAAAAATCTCAAGGTCAGGGCACAGAAAAGCCTGCACGGAGCCTCCGGACTGGGGCTAAAAGCTGTCCAATTAGCTGACCCTCTCCTTCCTTCCCCTGGCCGTCCTGTCACTCTGCTTCCACCGCTTGACCAGACCCAGACCCTTCAGACGTGCGGCTTCTTCAAAACTGGCCAGGCCTAGACAGGACCCACAGCCCCACCCGGACTGGACTAGAATTTCAAATGGAATTTGCTTTGTCAAACAACCCAAACCATGAACACTAGATGGAAAAACGAAAGTGAAACAAAATGACAAGCTAGTAAAGTAGACACATAGTCAAGCAGAGATGGAGGATTGTTTACACGACGCCCCAGATAACTAAGTAAACACCACATAAAAACTTAAAATGAAAGGTAAAACTGATAGTGTATGGAGATTAACTTCAGAGCCTACATTTACTGATTAGCAGACACTGCACCCCTCTCCTCCTACCTTCTGGCCTTGCTCCGAGAGGAATGATTTAACTCGTGCGCTCGCTCCCCTCCCACTGACTTCAGTAAGCTCCTTCCAGAGGAGATGCCCTGGTCACAAGGATCCTCCGGGGGAAACCGTGGGTGTGGGGGCGACCAGTTCACTGGCTGGACAAACCCTGAGCACCTACTTCGGCCGCCGAGCTGTGTGAACAGCCCTCTGCCCGCTCTCCTGCAGCCCCTCAGCACAGAAACTGAGGATGAAGGGACCTGGCCTAGCGACCGCCCCTGCCACCCACCCGCAGCATGGACAGCAGCACACAGGAAGGTCCCACACCGTCTCCTGGCTCCTGCCCCAGCTCCTCAGATTCTGGTCGCATGTGTTCCTATCTAGACACCCCACAGCGTGCCTCCGCGACCCCTGGCCCTCCCTGCTGTCCTCTGCTGGGCTGAGCTCCTGCAGAATCTGTCTTCACCTCTGGTTTCTTTTCTTTGTCTGAAGTCGAATCTCCAACCCTAATTCCAGAACTAGTTGCACAGCCTGGCTTTCTGTGCGCGGGGTGTCGCTCTTCACTGGACACGAACAGCACCTGGCTTCTACAGTTTGAAACCCAGCCCCCACCGTGAACCCCTTGGTTTGGGTAGGAGGGAGGGGGGCCGGCTCTGAAGAGCGGTGGTGGACAGCCGTGTGCTCTTCAGAGGGGCCTGGGGGAAAAAGCGGTCTAGTCACCTGGGCTGGGTAGACAAACGTCCTGGAAAGAATGTGTTGTTTGTCCTGGGCGGGTACTTCAGGCGGTTAGAGCATCGTCAGGGTTGTGGGTTCCATCCCCAGTCAGGGCACATACAGGAAGCGACCAACCAGTGCATGAGTAGGTGGAACAATATGATGTCTCTCTCCCTCCCCGCCCCCCTTCTCTCTCTTTCTAAAATCATTTTTTAAAAATGTTTTAAAGAATTTGTTCTTTCCCAGCCAGTGTGGCTCAGTGACTGAGCATTGACCCGTACACCAAGAGGTCGCCGGTTCGATTCCCGGTCAGGACACATGCCCAGGTTGTGGGCCTGACCCCAGTAGGGGACATGCAGGAGGAGGCCAATCGATGTTCTCTCTCATCGATGTTTCTATCTCTTTCTCCCTCTCACTTCCTCTCTTTCTAAAATCAATAAAGAAAAAATAATTTTTTAAGAATTTGCTATTTTAGCCCTGGCCGGTTTGTCTCAGCTGTTGGAGCGTCGGCCTGCGGACCAGAGAGTCCCGGGTTCAGTTCCCGCTAAGGGCACGTACCAAAAGGAAAAAAAAAAAAAGAATTTGCTATTTTACCTTAGATTATTTAACCTGTGTGAACACTTTCTTCGTGTGTGACGCAGAGGGACCACCTGTTCGCCGTGGGGTTATGGTGAGACAGAAACAAAGCTCTCAGCCCAGGGCAAAGTCATGGTGGGCCCTCCAGCTCTGTTCGCTTCCCGCTTGGGGCCTGGAGGAAGCAGCTGCCCAGAACTCAGATCTGAAGTTAAGCTCTGGCCCCCGAGCCCTGACTGCCTGAGGTTCTGTCAGGGTCGGATGAGGGTCGTGAAATGATGGACGTGAAGCACCGGCCCAGCGAGTCGGGTAACTGATCACAGCTAGTGTCGCTGTCCTGGCTCGCTTTGTGCCACGCAATGGTCAGTCGTAGCCATTTACCAGTACGAGCTCATTTAACCCTCATAAGATCCTGTATGAAGTAAAATGAACTGTTAATCCCTTCCTCCACCTTACTCTGTGATTCCATCCCACCATAGTTCAATTTCTTATAAATCATCAATTTTAAAACTGCCCCAAATTCTGTCTTTCTAGATGGAGAAATGGGAAAAGAACTCCTCCACTCAAGTAGGAAAGAATCAACCCCAGCTCCCAACTCTGCCCGTGGCCCCTCCCCAGAGCCTCAGGAAAAGGCAGGGAAAGCAATACGTCCACCAGAATTTATTCCTCAGAGGAATCACCAGCGCCGCACTGCCGTCCGTGTCACAGCGGCCCCAGGGGGCCTTTAGCCTCCCTCCCCCGATTATATTCACCCCAGAAGTATGGCCTTGGACAATAACTTCGTTACAGAATATTCCCGAAATAAGTTCCCCCAAGTTGCTGAGGTTACATAGGGAGGACACTGGGAAACTCAAAGGATTGGATGGTGAAACCATGGAGTTCCAGAAAAGTTGGAGGTTTTGAGGATGTTGGAGGGGTGCAGAGCACTTGGAGTGGAAGTTGTAGAATCCTGCCTCTAGGAAATGTGCCGACCTGCAGAAGAAATAAAAAAGAGATAATAAGGCTTCAAACCAACTTGACTCCTTCATGCCAGAGCCCTTAATAGAGTAATATCCTCCCTGTAGACACTGCAGTGGGTGGAAGGGGAGCGGGAGGGGTCTCTCCTCTTTCCTGCTCCAAACCCAACAATGGTGGCTTAAATCATGCTCTTGGTCCCATCCCATCTGGAGGGGGAAGCTCACCCCTCCAGAAGCACCACTAACTGAACCCAACGCTGACCCCTCAAACTTCACCCCTTCCAAAGGACCAGTAGGCAAACAGACCAACACAGATGTTACCTTCTGGATAGTTGGACCCAGGGAGAGCGGTGTAGCCTAGGAGAGGAAAGTATCTGATTAGAGCGCAGCCTTTGTGGGTGAAGGTATCTGGCATCATTCACAGCGAACGATGCAGCAGCGGGAGAACCCCTCGCAGACAGGAAGGGAGAGAAGGTGGGAGTTCAGGAAGCCACTCACCCGAGGAGCCAGCTCTCCGCCAGCTGAGCAAACCAAGGGAGAAGATGATGAGGCCCAGGCCCAGAGTCGCTGCAGACACAGAAACCTTCACTATCTGTACCGGAGACAGTCCAGGTGCTGCAGAAACAGAGAGTCCCCAGGACTGCTCTATGCTGCTCATTCCCAGAGCACTTTATTTACTTCAGCCCCCGCCTAGCAGATTCAAAGGTGCTTTATCCCTGCTCCAAGGGTCTAGCTCACACCACCTCACTCCTCAAAACTCCCAACCTGTGAATCTCTCTATTCCTAGAGTACCTAGGGGTCCCCTAGAGTTAGCACCCTGGCTTCTAGTTCCTCTCTAACATGGTGGGGCCTCTCAAGGCACCCTACTTTCTTTCTTCACCCCAAAGGTACCCTCGCCAAAGAATAAAGGATTCCTCATTCCCCTTTCCATTGACCCCCATGTGACAGTCTGTGCTCCCTTACTTGCTCTGAGTTTTTCTTATTCGAATGTCTTTCCACCTTCCTGACTGCCAGCGGTTCTGTCCCGAGTGGTTCTGTCCCGAGTCATGTCTCTTCCTGTCCACATCCGATTTCCCAGGTGCTCTTCCAGAACCTGTCTCCAGCCCATTCACAGTCCGAGAGCTGACCCTCACCTGAGTCCTGTCCCACCTGGACTCTCTCCTATGCTGAAACAAACATTTCCGCCAGCAAAGGCACCTTCGTGGGCAGGCTGTGAAGGACTCGCCCAGGACAGCCCGGAGCCTGTGGGCTCCACTCTGCTCCTCGTGCCCCCTCAGCTGCCCAGCAGGGCACACGCGCCCCGCAGGGGGAGGTCTGGTCTCAGCAGCCAGTCCGGGATCCTTTGTGGACACCCTTCTTCTTCTCTTTCCCAAGAGTCCCCAGACCCGTGTGCAACTTCTCTCAGTTCCTTTAACTACTTCCGATCCCGGGGTTTGAGCAATCGTGACTGGCTCCTTGTTCATACCCCCAAGCATACATGTCCAAGCGTCTACCGGCCACGGCCTTTCCTCCTGCCCTATGCCAGGAGAGAGTCCCCTTTCTTCTAGAACCTTCTTTATTTTTCTAATTCCCATTCCTGACCTGACAAAAGAATAGTTGAAATCTGAGGGTCCTAGAATATTACATCACAATTTTTGGTTCCAACATCTACATCCTCTTTTCAGGACAGTCCTGCTCCCCTCCCATCCTCAGGCAAGCATGTGACATCGACCAACCACCATGGCAACAACAACAACTGACTTTCTGCCCCCGCATCGCATTGCCCCGTCTTCAGTCATAAACCCCCCATAAGCCGCTCCTCATTCGCAGCACCTGCCTCTCCACCACGCACCAGGGACTTCACATCTCGCTCCCTCTGCTGAAACCGTGTTCCTTGTCTACCGCCACTTGCAGACCCTTTCTGCTTGAACCCTACGTCCTCCCTCCTGCCACGAACTTACTCCAGTCCTGAAGGATGGGCTCAGGAGCCCCCGCGTGCTCCACCACACAGGTGTAGGTGTCCCCGAAAGAGGGGGTTGTGGCTAAATAGGAGAGGGTCTGGTATGTCCAGTCTCCATTGGGCTGGGCAATCTTATGGGCATGGCCATGAGGGGGTACAAGCTGCCCATTCTTCTTCCATGTGATGGTCACCTCCGCTGGGTAGAAGCCCCACACGTAGCAGGCCAGCATCACGGGCTCCCTGGTGTTAAACGGAGTGGCCTTGGCTACTTGCACAGATGGCGGCCCTGCACAGAGGAAACGTGGTCAGGATGGAGGGAGGGCCTTTTCTCCAACCTGGCTTCTCTCCTTCTGTAATTCTTCATGGATTTTGCCAAACTTCCCTCCCCACACCCACCCCCGGCCACCATGCATCCCTTTGAAAACAGGAATTAGAATTTACTCCTGCTTCTCTCTTTTTTGCTCCCATCCCTTCACCACCCTTTCTGTTTTTCTTCTCCAAAATTATGTCTGATCACAAGCATAAGCCGGGTCTGAGCTGCAAGCTGTTCAGATGGCCCTGCATTTATCTCAAACACATAAGCTGACGGATGTGAATTGGGTTTTATGCAAAGGTAGAAAAAAACTTTTGTCTTCAAACCTCATTTAACAAATTAATTTGCTAAATCAAGCCCCTTTTCCTCCGATGATTTGAGGAAACAAACCAGAGCTCCCTTAAATTTGGATAAGTGTAGTTCAAATTAATGAGATTGTTAATGTATACATGTTTTACTAGTTTATTCTCCTAGGTCACCCTCTTGTTTGCCTCTTTCTTGGTGCTTTCCGAACAAAATCCCAGAAACTGTGTTGCCATGCAGATTCCCTAGCCCGCATCCCCAGATATGTTCATTCCTGCAGGGCTCTCAAGGGCTTGCATTTTTAAAGAGCAACTTCCCAGGAAGTTCCGAGAAAGGTGGGTCAGAAACCACACCTCAAGGTACAATACTCCGTCCTGTGGAGATCAAGTTCCCTTCCACCAATCTCAAGTCACTCTCAGCGCGGGGGTTAAGGGTGACAGAGCACACATCGTCTGAGGCTTTCCACAGACCCCATGGCTGGGTCCACCCAGACCTGGAAGCTCAGATTCTGGGGCGGAAAGGCATGCTCGGGAGAAGGCCATTCTGGCTATTCTGACGGAACTGGGACCTGCCTCGTGAGAAGCCTGCCTAGGAGGAAGACATTCCGCCTGCCCCTCAAGGGCTCCTTGCGGACTCAAGCCTCCCCTCCCCTCCTTTATTCCTGCTCCACCCACACCAGTCACCTTGTGTCCCGGTTAGGGTCAACCCTCCCTCTTTCTATAGTCAGGTCCACACATTTTCTGCCCAAATCTTAAACTCCTTGCCTGCTGAGGGATCCTCCCTGGCCTCCCCTCTCTTAACTGTGCTTCCTAATAGCCCCTCTGTACCCCTCTCTCCTTACGTGTCCTTCGGGTCAGTGATCCCCAAAAGGGCTTTGTGTGTGTGGCACAGTCCTGGAGCCCCTCAGACAAGCGCTGGAGGAGGTTTTCTTGCATGTTGAGGTGAGTTGAGAGTTGAACGGCCAACTGATACAGCACCCCAAATTCACAAGGGGCCATTGCTCTCTCCTTTGGATCCCAGCAGGTCAGCAAATCCTTGTTGAAGGAGACACAATATGTGAAGTCCAGTGGAGTCCCATCATCATCCAGCAGACAAGTGCTTTCCACATGGGCCACAAAGCCACCTGCAGGAGCCAGAGAGGGGCGCGTCAGAAGCCAGACTCGGTGACACCTAGGGAGCGGGGTACACATTTCCCGCCTCAAGCAGCATCTACTGACCAAGCTCATGAACTGGAGTCCCCAGGAGCCCTGATTAAGAGATGAGATGGTATTAGTAGAGGTGTTTTTAGAACCTGTTTCCTCTTTATGTGAGACTAAGTATAGGGACAGGAGTGGCCCAAGATTATTTGCATTTTTAAAAATGATGACTTACCTGGGACAAGACCTTCACTAAGGCACATTAAGAAAAGGGGTCAGGGGGAAGAGTCAGCCTTGTTCTGTGCTGCATGTGTTACTAAACTCCGTACATAAATATGAAGTGCGGGCTGTGTGCAGGCACTGCTGCAGGAGCTGGGGATGCAGCAACAAGACAGGTGTGGCCCTCGCCTACCTCCCAGCAGTCCTGTACTACACGAACCATTACACAGTTTCGCAGTGCAAGTACTATCGGAGTATGTAATAGGGAGACAAACAAGTCTGGGCCGTTCAAATCCAATAACAAAACTGAACCTCCTCACCTGGAAACAGGAGCAGAGGAAGGCAGGTCCCAGGAATTAATGTCCTTACCTGCTCCGGTGCAGCCCAGACTGAGGCCCAGCAGCAGCTGCAGGAGTGTAGTCATGATCTGCTCTGAGAAGACACAGGAAATTCGGTCCCCCGGACCAGCTCTTCCAGGGGCCTTGAGTCCTCACGTGCCCCAGAAACCCCAGCCCGGTAGTTGATCTCCAGACCCTGAACGGAATATGCTATTTCCCTACTACATAAGTGATAGATACTAACTTGTTTCTACCAGCTCAACTAAGTCACATCCGAAACTGAGGGTTGTCAGATTGGCTAGGTAGTCCGGGACAAACGTACAGACAAATCGGTGAGTGCCTCAGCTGAGTGTCATCAGTTGCTAGGTAAATCTCATCCTGCCCTAGGCTCTACACTCCTGTCTCTTTCTTAACTCTTTGTTGTGGGACAACTAGTCTGTTGGTGAATGGCCCTGGGCCCCTGGAGGGAACACTCCCAGTATTCTCAGGATGCATGTAGCCTGTTCTGCCCACCGGATGAACTGTTTCCTCTCAGTGTCCTCCCCGAAGACCAACTAGATAACCTCTTTTGTTCCTTAAAGGGAGGTTGCTTGGGAAGATATTCCATAACCCTTGGTCTGCCCTGTCACTCAGCAGACAGAGGGCATGGGCCCTCTGGGGAGGGTGGCAGAGGCAGGAATGCTGAGAAGGAAAGAGGCCCGGGAGAGTGCAGGGTTTGCTCTGGCCCTAAAGCAAGACAGCAGAATAAGGAAGGCGGTTCCACCCAGAGTCAGGGACATGGGCCTAGAAACCCCTCTGGGCCTCCGGTCTTCTTTTGTCCAGACAGTAGAGTTTCATTTCCTCCTTTCTGCTTTCTGGAGCAGGAAACCTTGTCCTCCTACGCTCTGAGCCACCTCAGGGCAGCTGGCAATGGGCCAGCGCCCAAAGCTCCCTTGCCCCAACCTCAAAACTCCCCTGTGTGCTTCCCTCACTGGCCCCATCTGAGCTGGGCAGGCTCCTGCATTATGAAGCCATGAAGAAAGTAAGATAAAGCTTCCCTACTTTTCTTCTCCTGGAAAAGACGGATTTAATTTTATTCTTTATTTATTTATGTTTTTATTAAATTTATTGGTTAATAGGGTCATATAGGTTTCAAGTGTCCATTTCTATGATCCATACTCTGTATACTGCACTGTGTGCCCACCACCCAAAGTCAAATCATCCTCTGTCACCATATATTTGGTTCCTTTCCCTTTACTACCTCCCACCCCCTTCCCTCTGGTAACCACCACACTGCCGTCTGTGTCTATGAGTTTCAGTTTTATATCCCACATATGAGTGAAATCATATGGTTGTTAGCTTTTTCTGACTGACTTATTTCACTTAGCACAATATCCTCAAGGTCCATCTATGTTGCTGTAAATGTCTCTATTTCATCTTTTCTTATGACTGAGTTGGTAGTATTTCCATAGTATATGTGTACCACATCTTCTTTATCTAATCCTCTATTGAAGGACACTTTGGTTGTCTCCATGTCTTGGCCACCATGAATAATGCTGCAACGGACATAGGGATGCATATGTCCTTGCATATAAATGTTTTCCAGTAGATACCCAGAAGATGGATTGCTGGGTCATATGGTAACTCTATCCTTAATTTTCTTAGGAACCACCATACTGTTTTCCACAGTGGCTATACCAGTTTATAATCCCACCAGCAGCGAATGAGGGTCTCTTTTTCTTCACACCCTCTCCAACATTTGTTATTACTTTTGTTGATAACAGCCATTCTAACACGTGTGAGGTTGTAGTTCATTGTAGTTTTGATTTGCATTTCCCTAATAGCTAGTGAAGTTGAACATCTATTGGCCGTTTGTATGTCTTCTTAGGAGAAGTATCTGTTCAGGTCCTCTGCCCATTTTTTAGTTGGATTGTTTGTTTGTCTGGTGTTGTGCTGTATGAGTTCTTTATATATTTTGGACATTAACCCCTTATTGGAGCTGTTGTTTGTAAATATCATCTCCCATTCAATAGGCTATCTTTTTGTTTTGTTGTCAGTTTCTTTTGCTTTGAAGAAGCGTTTTAGTTTGAAATAGTCCCATACATTTGTTTTTGCTTTTACTTCCCTTGCCTCTGGGGTCAAATTCATAATATATTCTCTACAACCAAAGTCTGTAAGTTTAGTACCTATGTTTTCTTCTATGTAATGCATTGTTTCAGACATTTAGGTCTTTGATCCATTTTGAATTAATTTTTGTACATGGAGACAAACTGTAACTCATTCTTTTGCATGTGGCTTTTCAGTTTTCCCAGCATCATTTATTGAAAAGGCTCACTTTTCTCCTTGTGTGTTTCTGTCTCCTCTGTCAAAAATTATTTGCCCATATACATGTGGTTTTATTTCTGGGCTCTCAATTTTTTTCATTGGTTAGTGTGTCTGTTTTCCTGCCAATAAATACTATACTGTTTTCATTATCGTAGCTCTGTAGTATAATTTGAAGTCAGGTAGTGTGATACCTCCAGCTTTGTTCTTTCTTCTCAGGATAGGATTGCATTGGCTATTCAGGGTCTTTTGTGGTTCTATACAAATATGATGATTAGTTGTTGTATTTATTTTAAAAATGACATTTGGGATTTTGATGGGAATTGCTTAAAAGCTGATGGACATTTTAACTATGTTGATTCTTCCAATCCTTGAACATATATCTTTCCATTACCTTGGAAAAGAAAGATTTTTAAGTGGCAATTCATTCTTCATTCCCATTGTGAACTATACCATTGGTGGCTTTTTCCATCACAAGTTTATAACCCTAAATTCATTTCTCTCTGCTTCCCAACAGGCTTCAGTGTTGCCTCTTCTCACTTGGTTTCTGAAAGCTCTTGGGTTTGATTTAATAGTGAGTTAAACAAAAGAGGATTAGGAGGGAGCCCCCGTCACCACACTTGTCTGTCCTCCACCCCAAGAGATTTCTGATCTTTATGAAGAAAAATGGAAGCAAAAAAAGCATGCATCAAAGGTAATAATAAGATGAATGAATATCAGAAACAAAAGACTTTTGCATATAACTGAGCTTAGCTGAAGGTGTGCCTGGTTCCCAATCACCCTGGTGATAAGACTGTTCTAGACTCTAACTCCTCTAATGAAACATCATGTGTGTTGGAGTGGGCAGAAAATGGGTTAGGGAATCCAGAATTTGTTGGGCTTTTACTTTGGGACAGATACTTTTACATGCTGCCTCATTTCATCTTAAAAGACCTGTTAAGCCCTGGCCGGTTTGGCTCAGCGGTTAGAGCATCGGCCTGCGGTCCGGAGAGACCCGGGTTCGGTTCCCGCTAAGGGCATGTATCTCGGTTGCAGTTTGTCCCCGGCCCTGGTTGGTCGTGCGGGTGGCAGCCACTCGATGTGTCCCTTTCACGTCGATGTTTCTCTCTCTCTCTCTCTTCCTCTCTCTCCCTCCCACTCTATCTGTGCAAAAAGTGGGAAAATATCCTCGGGTGAGGATAAAAAAAAAAAAAAAAAAAAAAGGACCTGTTAATTATCCTCATTTTATAGTTTTGGAAACAGGTCCAAAAATACAAACCCAAAGTTTAGAGGTACACACACACACACACACACACACATGCTTGAGTGTGCCCACACACTTGCTACCTCCTGGGATTAAGAAGATACACATAGCTAGCTAGCGGTGGCCTCCACTGAGCAAAGGAGAAAGGGAAGAGCCACCAGCTCCATCCAAGTTTTGTCTTTCCTGTTCTCAGAACTCCTTCTGCTCTTAGAACAAGTGTCTCTTCCACTTTCTCTTTCAATGGTTTCAAACTGGGTGAATTCTCCTACATACACACACCGTCCTTGCCTCCTCCCCCTCCCCCTAGGTAGAAGGGATCCTAATGTTGCAGGAACTAGGCCCTGGGATCCTTTGCATGTGTACAAAGCCTGGCCTGGCACAGCACTGCTCACCGCCCTGTGGTCCTGGGGCCACTCACATAGGCGTTGACCTTAGCCAGCTCGCTGAGGCTGAATGCAGTGCCCTCAGGCGCTGAGGTCTCTGCTCTGGCAGCCCAAGGAGATGTGAAACCTGTAAGGCAGCAGCAAGAAATGTAGATTTCACATCTCTATTAATGAGAAGATTGAGGGAAATTTCTAGAATAAAGAAGGACAGAAAACCCAGCCACCTGTGCCCAGTGAAGCAATTTCTTCCTTCCCCTCTTCCTCTTAACCCTACTATATTTTTACAGATATAGTTCTGTCTCCACCTCCAGTCAATCCAAAAGAATATTGCAAATGCCCTGGCCTTTGTTGGTGATTTGACAACTGTATGTAGCACTAGGACCGAAGAGGTTGGGGAGCCTCAGCTGGCTTCCCACACTCTGTCCCAATGTCACTGCTACGAGGCAAGGGCGCCAGGAGTGAGTCCTTCCTTTCCCACGTGCCAGACACAGACTAACCAAGGCGTTTACACGCAAAGCACTACAGGGAATACGCAGAGCTAGGAGATATGGTTTCTGCTCCGATCATTTGTCATTCACTTAGAGGTCAGTTGGGGAGTGAAAATAAACATCTATAAGGAGAAGCATTTACATTAAAGCGAGTAAGGAATAAAGTCAGTGGATTTAAAAGAGAAATGAGAAATCACGGTGGGCGTGGCAGACAGGGAGTCCCCTCCATTGAGGGGTGGGATTCATGCCAGAAAAGAGAAGGTATTGGAGTCTCAGTCACCGGCAGGTAGCTCCACAAGTCTGGCCATGTTGTGAGGTGCTGTCCCAGGTCTACCAGGAGCCTGAGCTGCTCAAACAAAAATGAACTACAATAATGTCACTGGCATTGCACATTGAAGGAAGTCACAAATGTGATCTCATGCTTTTCCTGAGAGTATGGCCATAATAATAGATCTCTTCTAGGTACTTCCTAACGTCACTCCCCCCAAGTTCTCAGTTCCTCTTCTGGACAGTTGATTTTTAATTCAAGCCTCTAGTTTATAAACTCAAAAATTGCTCAACCCATCAATCATTTGTAACCTAAAACCAGTAGTGTGAGACCACATTTGTGACTTCTTAAAACTACAACACCTGCATCTTCAGGGATTACACTACTCCCCAGTTTGCCCAACCTCCCCTCCCCTCCTCCCACTCCCTCTTCCCTCCCAGGATTCATGCTCTAGACCTTGACCTTTGGGTTATAGTTGCTGTAACTAGTTCACCATCCTTCTATCCAGCAGCCAAATTACTTGAACTACTAGAGGATATCCTACCTGATTTGCCACCAAAACTCTTGACAAATATTTATCTCAATTTTAACTATGAGAGAATGGAGGCAGAGAGAAGTTAGTGTTGCCCAGATTTACCCAGATATGAAGTAACAAACCATAATTTGAACTCAATATTTATAATTCTAAATCCTATACTCCTAATAATTGATTGAAAATTCCCAACCATTTGTAATAGTAATAAGAAACATAATATATCTAAAAAGTAACATAAAAGTATAAGAACTTTATGAGGAAACAACCTGTATTAAATTACATAAAGACCTCAAGAAATAGACATGTCATTTTCATGGATGAGCATCCTGACATATTGAAAATGTCAATTTCCCCCATATTGCTAACTGAAATGATGTCCTAACTAAAATTATAGCAGGATTTGGGGAGAAATTGACAAGTTGATTCTGAATTGTACATGAAAATAAGGTCCATGAGTATCTTAGACAATTTTGATAAAAAAGAGCATATTACAAAGCTATAGTAATTAAAACAATATGATGCTGACACAGGAACTGAATGACCCATAGACAAATCCATGCATATAGGGAACTTGGTGTAAAACCCCCGGGAATAAATTGAATATCTGGTAATTCATATTAGAAAAATCAATTTACTATTTGGAGGAAAAGAACATTATATCCTTACACTGCATAGAAAAATTCTAGATCAATAGAGATATCAATATGAAAGGCATATCACATACAGACAGATAAATGTAAGGCCAAGTTTTTTATCCAAACTTATCAGAAAAAAAGGAATTACCATATATGTAAGTCCTTAGGATTTTTTTCTTTCCAAATTAAGACCATTTCTCAAAGATTTTTGAAAAGATATATTATCCTAACATGATCTCAATAAGTTCATGCACTGGCCAATTTGACTCAGTGGTTAGAGTGTTGGCCTGTGGACCAAAAAGTTGTGGGTTCAATTCTGGTCAAGGACATGTTCCTGGGTTGTGGTTCATCCCCAGCCCTGGTCAGGGTTGTGTGGAAGGCAACCATTCAATGTGTCCCTCTCACGTCAATGTCTCCCCCCCCCCCCCCATCTGAAGATAAATAGAAAAATATCCTCAAGTGAGGATAAATAAATAAATAAATAAATAAGTTCATGAGAAGAATTAGAATAAAATGTGAGAGTAGAAACAGCAATATGCCTACATTAATATATTACATTAGAAAATGTGATTTTAAATTTGCAAGTTTGTAACTAAATAAAGGTTTGACTATTTGACTATTTCCCTATAACTTCTATATCCCTAAAATTTTATATTTTAAAATTTGTAAAAAAAAAATAATAATAATAACTTTAAAATATTCTCATTGAGAAAGTGGAATTACCTTGTCACTTTATATTCCAGTAAAAATTGTAACTTTACTGTCTTGTGGTTGGAATGGATTTCTTAAGATCATGAAAGCATAGACCATAAGCATTTTGAAGGTCAAATTTAAATCTATTCAGGGAAAAAAAAACTGTGTATAAATTTAACTGATGAGCAGCAAATGGAAGAAGGTATTTTCAATATTATACTCACATAAGATTACTATATAGAATATATTACAAATCCCCACAAATTCACAAGAAAGACAAGAAAATGCAAATTTTTAAGTAGACAAATTATGTGAATCAGCAACTCACAGAGAGAGAGCCCTGTGGGAAGATGCCAGCCTCGCTAATGAGAAAAGCGACTTAAAACCAGATACCACCTTACACCCACCATATTGCCAATGTTCAAAAGCCAAACAATCTCAAGGGTTTGTGTCAAGCAAGGAAAATGAGAACTGCCTTGCTCTGCTAGTGGGAGTGTAAACAGTTTGTGATCCCTGAATTGTAGAAATTACAAGACTAGTTGGGTGAAAAAAGTTAACATGTGAAACAAGGCAGGATATCCTTGAGAGTAAAGCCTGGGTCGAGCACTTCCAAGAGTTCAGTAAAGACCAGTTAGGGCTGCAGGGCCAGGGAGAGGTTCATGGAAGCGGTCAAACCTGAGTTGTATTTACAGCCTTGGTTAAAATGGAAACAAACAGAGCAGAATAAGAAAGGCATTCGGGTGAGAGAAAAAACCTGGGCAAGTGTTCTAAAGTAAAGACAGACAGGATACTGTTGAGGAAGAGGGAGGAAATTTGGTCATTGAAGAACAGGACTCTTGCTGGGAAGAGTGGGTGATATTTTTTATTAGAAGCTGGACCCAGAGTAGAGAGGGTCTGGAATGCTTCTCGAGTATTATAAGTGACAGTCTAACAGACAAAAAATAAATAAAAAGGAAAAAAGTGACAGTCTAATAGAATGCTTGATCAGAAAGCACCTAACCTAAGCCCATTGTTTACAGTTGAGGCATTTGAGGCCTAGAGAGGGATGTGACTTGTCTAAGGTCACCCAGCATAAAGGCTTCACTGGCAGGAATTTCTGGATAAGTTGGAAATAAATAGAAATCAGGACAAAGTAGAAAGCAATAAGAGACAGATGTAGAATGGTAAAGTGGAAAGAAAAATATCTCAAAGGGAGAAAATATAATACTTGAAGATTCTGAGTAGGTTCCAGGAAAGAAAAAGAAATCAATCATGCTGTTACATCCCCCTGTGAAAATCTTTGCTAAGTTATTGAGTACCTTTTCTGTGTGCCAAACACTGTTCTAAGCATCTGACAGGTAGTAACTTATTTAAGCTTCACAACGATCCTGTTAAGGTGGACACTACTGTTAGCATCATCCTTTTACAGAATATGATACCAAGGCACAGAGAGGTTAAGTAACTTGTCCAAGGGTACACAGCTAAAATTTGACAGTCACGATTGAATTCCCAGCAGTCTGGTTCCATAGTCCCTCCTCTTAACCAGTACATATGCTGTTCTTAGAAACGAAGTGGTTCAGAGAGCTTCCACTCCTAGAAAGAACTAGGTTAGATTCACTTAGGTTAGATTCTGGTACAATGCAAAGAACAGAGGCTCCCTCATGAAAACCAAATTAATTGAACTCTTAACTTAATGCCCATGCCCTCCTCCAAAGCAATTCCCAGACCCTAAAGAAAGCAAGAGGCAAAGCATATGCAAAATGATTTAGCCCAGTAGCCACGTGCCCCTGGCCCCACTATGGACCCAGGACAGCACTGTCAGTTCTACTTAGAGGAGCCACTCAGGCCAAAGAACAGACCGTATGGAAGGACACGTGAATTCTGGGCCCTTCCAGGATGCTCAGACGTCACTTCAGGAATCTGATTATACTGCTTTCACAGAACGGAGCTGATGAAATTAGAATAACCTCTGGCCCAGCCAGTGTGTTTCAAGTGGTTGGGCATTGTCCATGCACCAGGAGGTCACAGGTTAGATTCCTGGTCAGGGCACATGCTTGGGTTGTGGACTCCAGGGCGGGGCAGGCAGGAGGCAGCTGGTGGATGTTTCTCTCTCATCGATGTCTCTCTCGCGCGCGCGCTCCCTCCCTCTCCCTTTCTCTCTAAAAAAAGTCAATAAAAACATTAAAATTCATCTGAAGGCTGGCTTTCCCCTCCCCTGCACTCTGTTTCCCGGCTGCGGTGAAGGCGGAAGGGAGCTCTTCTCAAGGCAGTGCATCGCAAAAAGGCCCACAAGCCAAAGCTGCACCGTTTTGTGAGCTGGCGATGAGGAGCAGCTCTGCCTGCGTTCCTGTTTGCACACACTGATGGGAGTGGAAGCCCCCGCGCTGCTGAGACCAGGCAGCAGCAGGCAGCTGAGGAGCCAGGGGCCCCCATTTCCCTCCCTAAGGAGGCCAAGGTGTTCAGGTTAAGGCATGTTGAATTTCAAATGACAACTCACTCAAGCTGAGATATCCAGAAACAAACACCATGAATTAAAAAAGAAGCCACACCTGTAAAAAGTAATGAAATTTATTGCCTTGACGTGGGAAGGATTGCAGTCATGATAGAAAGGCACTCTGGGTTCCCCAGGATACAAGCTGGGGACAGCAGAGCCCCCAGCTGAGAACCCTGCGCGCGCACACACACACACACACGCGCGCACACACACACACACACACACACACACACGCAGGCCTTTGCTCTGAGAAGGAGCGATGCTGGCCAGGATGTGAGAAGTCTGAGCAGCCACTGCTAGGGAGGCCGAAGGTGCTGCCATCAGACTCCGATCAGGAAGACTCAGTCTGAGGAGAGAGAAGGGTGGAGGAAAAGCCCTCAGAGGGGTCTCCCTCCTCCCCGAAGGCCCCTCCCTGCCTGCAGCACACCCTGGGAAGTGGAGCTCTCCTTGACCCCAAATCATCTCCGCACCCTTCCTCCAGCTCCCCATGTCACTCCTCTGTCACTCAAAGCCATCCCTGGGACCCATAACTGTGTGTGTAACTGGGACCCCAACCAGGCAGTGCCATGGTGCCGAGTCAGCCTCCCCACCCCAGGATAATCCCGGCCCGCCCACGCACGCGCCGCGGTATGGCTCCTACGCCCCCAGCCCCCCGGGGGCCTGACGTACCGCCCGAGCAAGGCTTCCGGAACCTGGTGATGAGGACGGAGCCAACGATGATGCCCAGCACACCCAGGCCGAGGGCCACTCCACACAGCACGTTCTCCAGAAGATCTGAGGGCAGCGCGTTGTGGGGCACTGGAGACAAAGGGGAGCAAGTGGGCGCCGAGACCTGGTTGGGGAGCCCCCACCCTGGGGAATGATGGGGTTTCTGGGATGACAAGGGAGAAACTGAGGTGTGGGTGACAGGTTGCCTCAGAGGGAGAACGGACTAAACAAGGTCCACGTAGAGAAGAAGGCTCTCCCGTGGGTCTGTCCCTTTGTGCCCCCAAACAACCAGGCTTCCAGGGAGGAGGGTCTCACCCCAATAGGCAATTGCTGTGTAGCCGTCGATCTGATGAGTCACCAAGCAGGAGAAAAGGTCCGAGGGTTCTGGTGTGAAGTTCAAGTAAGAAAAGGCCTGGAAGCTGAGTCCATCAACGGCTGAAACAAAAGTGGGCCCAGAGCCTTCCACGGGGCCCAAGTGGTGCTGCCAGGTCACCGTCAGCGTGGGTGGGAAGAGATTACTGACAAAACACACCAGCGTGTTGGGCTTGCCGAACTCCAGGGGCTTCAGCGTGAACACCTCAGCGACAGGAAAGCCTGGGGAAGGGTCGAGGTGTGAGGGCCCGGAGGGACTAGCTGAGATGGCACCCCAGTGTTTGGAGGGGAGTGACACACGGAGGGAGGGCAGAGGCAGTCCACCGGGCTGCCTTTGGGGAGAAGAGAGAGGTACTGGGGTTCTGAGACCTTCCAGCCAAGAACCAGAGCTGGACCTAGAGCAGAGCCAGGCCCGGGCCTCTCTGCAGCCCACCGGACTTCCTGCAGCACTTCCTGTCTAGACCCCCCATCTCATCACAGGCTGTCTTCTCAGGGGAGCACCAGCACATGGGCAGGTGCTTCTACTCCCCTCTTCCTCCTGCTGAGAAGGGCAGCCCATCGCCCACGGTTCCCACCTCACCCGGTGAGTGCCCCGCCCCAGGCACTGTCTTCCGACCACCCAGCCGGGCTCAGCAGGGGCTGGTAGAAAGGGCAGGCCCCCGGGCAGAACCAGGGGGCACCAGAGGTGGGGGCTGGTGGGAAGGGGAACACTTCGGTGTAGAGATGAATGAGGGTAACAGTGCAGCTCCCACCCTGCCCCTGAAAAACCCCTGACCTCTGGACACTGGGATTTGCCCTTCAAGGGCTGGGCCTACTTCCTGGACCATGGCTTGGCAGAATGCCTTGTCGAAGAAAATGCTGGGAATGTCTCCGGACGGCTGGGCCCAGTCCGCAAATTCGGGCAGGCGAGGCACTCGCGTGTTCTGGGAAAAGTCGAAGGAGAAAAGCAGGTCCTCCTCGTAGGCCTCGGAGAGCGCCACGCCGGGGCTCCAGTCCTGACAGTACACGGTGTGCCGGAACGTGTGGTTCTGCAGGTCCCGCCGCCCTGCAGCGGGCAAAGGAGACAGCGGGGTCCAGGGAGGGCCGCCCCTCCTCCTTAGCTCAGAAATAGGCTTGCTGAACCCGAGGGGCAGGGGTGGGTATAACCCCTCTGGTGTTTGTTATTTGGGCTCTCCCACCCAGGGGGGGTGCAAAGGAAATTACTGGGGTCTCTCCAAACCAGCCCGCCCATAGGAAGGCCAGCGGTGTCACGCTGTGGGGTGCGAGTGGCCGCAGTTTGCAGTGCCACAGCCGGCTGTCTGCGTGCGCACTGCTGGCGGCTGAGACCCAGCCTGCGCTCTGCTCCGGGCCCTGCATCCCGGCCCCGGGCGCGTCCTCCCCAAGGGGGACCTTGGTCTGGTTCACAGGCCGCCACGGTGACTTGTGAAGGGCCTGGATGGGCTTCCCAATCTCAGAAGGTGCAGCAAAGGGATGGTCACGGCCTCCCCAAGCTGTAGAAGACACCCCTCCCTCCTCTGCCCAGACACACGGTGAACTGAAAACAGTCTCCAGGCTTCTTTTCAGCCACCTCGTTGGCACCAGGCCTCTGAAAACATCTTCCCCTCACCCAGCTGTCCAGCCCCCCACAATGACAGGACTGGGGGAAGTGACCCCATAGCTTCACGAAATGATCCCTTTTCTGTGAAACTTCTGGCAGGATTCCCCGCAGTGAGCAGGAAACCTACCCCATACCCAAGACCTAGAACAACAGGCATTTATAGTAAGAGGGATCTTCCCGATTATTCTTCCATTCTGCCCCATCCTTCTCAGGGAAGGAAATTAAGGACCGGTGAAGATCCTTCAAGAACCGCGTGGCAGCGCTGACCAAGTGCAGTGACTCGAGCGGAACAGTGGACATAACATTTGCTTTGTTCAAGCCCCAGTGCGACCACGTCCCCATGTGTGAACAGCACACGTTCCTTAAACTCTGAGTCTCAGTTTCTCCACCTGGAAAGTGGATATAATAGTCTCTGCTTCAAAAGACTCTTACACAAAATGTATCAAGTACCCTGACACTGCCGCCCATCCATAGCAGCTTTGCCCTCATCTACTAGTTTTCCCTACGCGGCAGCACTTCCCACCACTCACAGAGCGTGGGCGCTCTCCCAGTGCTCTGGCTGGGCGCCCAGGGCTGCTCTGGGTGGGCTCCCAGGGCTGGAGCCCGGCAGGACTGCAGCAAAGGGGAGGTGCAGTCATACCCTGAGCAGCGGTCCAGGAGAGAGGCAGCAGCCACAGGACGTGTAGCAGCCACAGCAGCGCAGGTCCGGGGCCCCACTCATGATCCATCGCTTCACCCACACTGTGGGCGAGGAGCTACCCCAGCTCCCCAGCTCCCTCCTAGATCAAGTTCCGCCAGCGCACTTCCAATTGTGTCCCTACCATTTGGGCTAAACCAATCACAGAAGTGAAGGCTTTAACATCACCAGTCTCTGGGGAGAGAGGCCTGGGACCAGCAACCTCCTGAAGAGGGCTCCTTCAACAGGCCAGAGTGGGTGTGTAACTGGGCTGGGTAGGCTGGCAGGAACGTGTGCCTCCTAGTGGGGATCCCTCTCCGTGTCTGCTCATCAGCCTGGACAGGAACCCGTGCGGGTCTCTGCATTGGAAATCCCCTCTTCCCACAACAAACCCCAGGACTCTTCAGACTCCACTTTCTCTGAGAGGTATCCTCCTTCCATCATTAGCTCCAGTGTGTCCTGCAGTGCTAGAAAACACAAAGGTGAATAAGACAAAGTCCTTCCTCCACAGAGCTCAAACTCTAGTGGGGTGGTGGTGGTGGTCAATGAATAAGTACACAACAATGTAATGTGTTTAAATCAGAACATGCGAGTGTTTTGGAAGTAGTGATTTTATGAAGTTGAAGGAAAAGGTGAGACATATCAGGACACCTTCTAAGAGTCTTGAAGAAAAAAAAAACAATTAGACCGCCCTGGCCGATTTGCTCAGCAGTTAGAGCGTCGACCTGCGGTCCAGAGAGACCTGGGTTCGGTTCCCGCTAAGGGCATGTACTTCAGTTGCAGTTTGTCCACGGACCAACCCTGGTTGGTAGTACGGGTGGCAGACACTCAATGTGTCCTTTTCACCTCTCTCTCTCTCTCTCTCTCTCTCTCTCTCTCTCTCTCTCTCCTTCTCTCTCTTTCTTTCCCACTCTATCTGAACAAAAAATGGAAAGGTGTTTTCAGGTGAGGATAAAAAAGAAAAGAAAAAACAATTTGACCAACAGAACATGAGGGAAGAGAAAAGCATTTCAGGTCAAGGGATAGGCGAGTGTGTGAAAGCCAAAGGCATCAGAGCGCCTTCCTCTGGGGCCCTCTGAGAACTGGACGTTGTGGAGACTGCTCACGTGTCCCTGTTCCTCTTGGGGATGCTGGGGTGTCAAGAGGAGCTGGAAATTTAGGCAAGAACAGATCACATGAGCCCTGTTATGTCACAAGGAGGGTCCAGCTTTAATTTAGCAGATGATGGAGATATTAAAACTGGTGCACAATCATTTCAACCTTTTAAAAGAACTGTTCTGATATTTGAAACAATGGACTGGAGTTTAGAAAGAATTGATGTAAAACTGCTGGTCACAAGTCTGTAGTATATGATATGAAAATAAAAAGTTGTACACACACACTGCCCTCTTGTATCAATATAACAATGATTTAGGTGATGAATGTTAAGATCCTGAGTTAAGTCATGAAGAGAGGACATGGGGGAGTCGAATACTGATATAATTAGGAAGTAGAATCTAAAGGGCTTGGTTGCAGGTTACATATGAGGTGAGATAAAGGGTCAGGGATAACACCCAGGTTTCTGATTGGGTGGCAGGGTGAGTCATGAGTGATGGACAGAAATGAAATAGAAAAAAATGCCATAAAAGCAGGTTTGATGATGAAGAGAATGAATTCTGTTTGGGACATGTTGAATTTGAGATGCCCGTGGAACAGGCATGCAGGAGGCATGAGGTATGTGGGTGTGGATTTCAGCTTTGGGCTGAAGAATTTTCATTTGAGAGTCACAGGCACAGATGTCGAAGCAGAGGCGGTGGACGAGATCACCCCAGTGAACTGTGCAGAGACGAGCAGGGTGTGCCACAGGACACGGTCTGCATGAGTTCAAACGCCAAGCCTCACACCTGCCAGGATCCAGGATTCAGTCAGGAGCACATAACCACACTAGGTATTTCAGACTGGCAGGTTTACTCTAGGGTTTGTTACAAAGGCAAGAAGTGCAAAAGGGGAAAAGAGGGTGGCTGGAGGTGCACGTAGGAGAGGAATGCCTGGGGGTCAAGAGCTGCTGTGGCCCCTGAGCTGGAATCTGTGTCTGCACCTGCTGTTGCCCTGGGGGACACACTGTCATAGTCCATTCTGGATCCACTGAAAAGCTGTCATCTCCAGCAAGGCTGGCTCATCGAGAAGTTACGTCCTCTGCCCAGCAGGCTAGACTCCAGAATCACCTGTTCTTGCTGCTGCTACAACTACTTGCTACTGCCAGTCTGTTGGAGACAAAGCAGGAAGCCTTGGTTTCTTCTGCCTTCTGAGCTGTCTCCTGCTGAGAGAGTCTAACAGGAAGCCGGCTGCCAGGAGGCTGGAAGTGCACACCTGCAGACCCCTGGGCTCAGCCGCACGGAGCAGCGTAGGAGGGCGCCAGGCTCCGACGCTCCCTGGAACCAGTGCACTGAAACGCGCTGCCGGAGCATCTGGTGGCAGCAGGAGCATCCAGAGAGCGAGAAGAACGAGGAAGAAGCAGATTAAGAGAAATAGAGGTGTTCCGTGAAGAATGGCAAGGTCCCCAAGTACTCCCCTGAAGTCGGGAAAACGAGAAAGTGTCCTTCGATGTGGCAGTTGTGAGCCGGTTAACGAGTTTATGGACAGCAGTTTCAGTGTTGCAGCGGGAGCAGCTCCAGATGGTGGTGGACTGAGAAGTGGGAGGTGAGGAAGAAACTGTTGGTGTATAGCTGCAAGTTTGATAGAGAAGAAAAGAGACAGAAGGGGTGGGGGAAGAGGCAGTGAGAAAGATCTAATGTGGCAATTAAGGAATCAGAAATTGATCTATGTGAGTATGGTCCATCCATGTGTCTGAGACTTTCAAAATCCATACTCCCTTTTGAAAGCAATAACAGCCCAAAACAAAACCAACCCCATGACCTCCTAGATATTCTGAGATGTATGGGGGTGGGGGCAGAGTGCCAGGGTCGGAGTAGGGTTTGGAAATCACTATATTACACTGCAAAAAGCAGAGCATTTCCCCAGTGTCCCTCTTTGTGGACTAACCCATGCTGGTTGCTGTGGTGGGAAGATTCAGGCCCCTAGGAAACAGTCTGTGACATGCCCTGGCCTGGAGCGGGAGGTGTATGGCACACTGCCACCCAGGGTGTCAGCACACTTTGGCAGTGAAGGACCAGATAGGAAATACGTTAGGCCATCTGGGTCCTGCATGCTCAGCCCGCGCGCAGACAGCCCTAGGACCGCGAAGCTGGGAGAGCAAGGCTGGGCCCTTGCCTTCCGCTCCTTCGACTTCTCTGGCCTCTCCTTCTGGCTCCTCCCTTGACTCCTTTCTTTCAGTTATTTTTTAAATATTGGTGTCCTTGGAGTTTTGTTCTTAACCTTTTTACTTATGGACACTGAAATTTAAATTTCATATAATTTCCATGAGTCACAAAAGATAATTTTTTTCAACTATTTAAAAACTGTTCCTAGCTCTCAGGCCACGTTAAAACAGAAAATGGGCAGGATTTTGCTCACAGACCATAGTTTGCTGAACACTGTTCTACGCATGTGGCCAAATTGGGATGGGAGACCCAAAATAAACCCACCCTCCAAAGAAGACCCCCAATGGCCCTTGGGGATGACAACTGGTTAATGAACACACCGTGCCCTGGATACAAGATCCTTTGGGAGGCCTGGGTGGGAGGAATGAGGCGAAGGGTAGAGGACAAGACCAGCATGAGAACTATAACCCCACCACCTGGATAAGTGGCAAAATGTTCACACTTATAACTACCTTTCCCTTTATGTGATCCTTCTTCCAACCAGGGCCCTCCAACAACAGCCATAATAGATGATCTCAAAAACAGCCTCTCACCAGTTTGGGGTGATAATTGTGGGCAAGAGGAGCAAGGCAGCCAGGTCAGCCTTCCAGAAACCGTCTACTTTGGTTTTCAGATACGAATGCCTCCAAGAACACCAGCGTCACACCATAAACCCAGCAGGCCACGGCTCTCTGACACTCGGTTCTCCCATCCTTCTTTACCTAGCAGAGTCGAATTTTCTAAAAAAGTTGCAGCAACCATCTCTCCACTTTCATACTTGCCTTTTAATCCTTAACCCTCCGCAGTGAAATTGTTCACTAGTATTTTTGTGTTGCTGAATCATGTGGATTCTTTGCAGTCTGCAACATTTGACACAGTTGGCCAGGCCTCCTTCCTACCTTTTTGGCATCCCGGGCTCCGGGCGGTGCCTCCCATTTCTCTGGAGTCCTGACTCCTTTGCGCATGCCTTCCTTTCAGCTACCCTTTAAGTGTTAGTGTCCCTGGAGGTTGGTCCTCAACCTTTTCTCTTACACTGTACATGTGCTGGATGGCACTGACTCCCACGTGCCTCCCCTATCCACCAATTGGCTGACGTTGTCCAATCTACCCCTTTGGCTCAGTTCTGTTCTGATCCACACCCCTCGACCCCAGCTGCCTGTAGGAGGCTCCATTTGGATGTCAGGACAACAGTTCTCAAACCGTATTCCCCACAAAATCTCCCTCAAGACATTTTTAAAAATTTTTCATTTTTTAATTTATTTCAACACCAAACACATTTACATAATAATTATGCAACAATTTATTATTTTTAACAAGGTTATTTTGGTGATAAGCAATAGAAACCAATTCTAGCTAACTTAAAATTTAACATAGCAATTTATTAGAAGGAAACTGAGCAAGCTCATGAAATCAAGAGTGGAATTAACTGGCCCCGGAAGGGGAGCCACAGGCCCTCCCAGCAGGGGAAGTGCCATGACCATGCCGCACCTTCAAAGGCCTCCAGCCTCCAGCTTTCCAGGTTCACACTGCTGGGTGAGACAGCCCCTCTGGGCAGCTTGTGTGAGGTGCGACCTCCAGATGGATGAACTGCGGCCAGGCACACCACCTCTATGCATGAGAGCTATTTCTGGAGAACGGAGAAGCATCAGGAACCAGACAGCCACCTCTACATAGCTCTTCAACGTATGGATCTCGACGACGTGAGGTCGGCAGAGGCATCAGCTGAGTGCAGTCTGCAGTAATGCCCAAGTACCTGCCTGGGTGACATGTCTTCTACTTGATGATCTCTGGTCTGTCACAAGTCTTGCCACAAAAACAAAATATACTTAT